GGAAAGGGTATATACTGTTTCACTATCAGGTAATTTCATACATGTCCTTTTTACCGAATTTAAAGATTCACAAAATTTTCATGCATTTTCGTGAAATTTTTCTAATTTATGAGAAAAAAGCAGTGTACATGGATACAGTGAAGAGTGTGCGCAATGCCATTTTTGTGCAATTCTGGGATTTTTTTTAAGTAAAAATAAGTCAACGTGTACATGGTTTAATTATATTTTAATTAAATGATAGTTATTTTGTGAATTATATGTTTGTAGCAGTTTGGTATACGTTTCAGTAGAAGTAAACGTGCATGGAAATAATTTAAATATTTGAGACTAAGTATTTGTAACCATTTTTAATGTTTTGTTCTAAATTCGTTGGTGAGGTTTATAATAGATAATTTAGAGGTAAAAGTTTTTGGATATTTTATTTATATTATACGTGGAAATGTTCATCCTTGGAAAGGGTATATACTTTTTCGCAACCAGGTAATTTCATATATGTCCTTTTTACCGAATTTAAAGATTCACAAAATTTTCATGCATTTTCGTGAAATTTTTCTAATTTATGAGAAAAAAGCAGTGTACATGGATATAGTGAAGAGTGTGCGCAATGCCATTTTTGTGCAATTCTGGGATTTTTTTTAAGTAAAAATAATTCGACGTGTACATGGTTACTGTGTATGTGCGATTTTGAAAAACGCGGCAAGGAGTTTGTACTTTTTCCCAATTTTGCAGTTAATATTTGTCATGACTAAGCAGTTTTGTTCTATAAAATTTCTAGCATAAGTGTAATTCGGCTAGCAGATTGATGGAAAAAGTGTTGAGTAAATAAAAAGAAAAGAAACATGGGTTGATCTTTAGATTATGTTAACTTGGCGATTTCTTGGCAAAAATTTGGCGGCCAACTCTTTTACAGCAACTCTCTATTTTTTTTCCCCGCCGCCATTTTGTCTTCACGAAGTAAAGACATGTTTCTTTTCTTTTTATCTACTGAACACTTCTTCCAACAATCTACTAGCCAAATTACACTTATGCTAGAAATTTTATCTAACAAAACTGCTTAATCATGACAAATATTCACTGCAAAATTGGGAAAAAGTGCACAATCGCAAACTCCTTGTGTATTTTTCACAATAACATGTACACGTCGACTTATTTTTACTTAAAAAAACATCTCAGAATTGCACAAAAATGGCATTGCGCACACTCTTCACTATATCCATGTACACTGCTTTTTTCTCATAAATTAGAAAAATTTCACGAAAATGCATGACAATTTTCTGAATCTTTAAACCCGGTAAAAAGAACATATATGAAATTACCTTATCATGAAAAAGTATATAACCTTTCCAAATATGAACATTTCCACATATAAAATAAATAAAATATCTAAAAACTTTTACCTCTAAATTATCTATTATATTATAAACGTTACCAACGAATTCATACCGCAAACATTACAAATACTTAAATTATTTCCATGCACGTTTACTTCAACTAAAACGTATACCAAATTCCTACAAACATAAAATTCACAAAATAACTATCATTTAATTAAAATATCACTAAACCATGTACACGTCGACTTATTGTTACTTAAAAAAAATCTCAGAATTGCACAAAAATGGCATTGTGCACACTCTTTCTTCACTATATCCATGTACACTGCTTTTTTCTCATAAATTAGAAAAATTTCACGAAAATGCATGAAAATACTCAACGTATACTACTCAAACATATTCCAAAATACTACAAACATATAACTCACAAAATCACGATCATTAAATTAAAATATAATTAAATTAAAAAACACTACTTAAAATATAAATAAGCACATACATTAAATTAATAAAAATTAGATTACAATCCTAATTACTTTAAACTAAATCATTGCTAATAACAATTTTCAAATAATTTTAATTATTTACTCCTTACATTTTAATTTATTTACTCCTTACATTTAGAACAATGCATACAAATAATATCCTCAAATGATTAAAAATACTAACTTACCTAATCTTCATTACGTCGCTGCAGTACTATTGCTAATTTCTAAATCCTAAATCCAGTAGTCAACTGGAAGTCTATTCACCAAGTAATAAGAAATTAATAAAATTTCACCTATACTCAAACTACTTTCGGCAAACCACATACCCTTCCTTACACACCTTTTCACAAAATGTCCATTTTCACCATATTTCTTGCACCACCATTTAAACTTCTAATATCCTTTCTTTCACACAATCTCAACTTATTATTATTATCAGATAAACGCATTAAAAATTTAGAATTCACTTTACATAGCGCCATGCAATCCGAAAATTAATCAACACTATTTCACACAACACACAATGAAGCTTTTCCAAATTAACCCCCTTTTCCGATTAAAGAACTATAATTCGTCCATTAATGTCACGTTTCACACAACACAGAATATAGCTAAATACGAAATTTCCAGATTTCCCCCCTTTTCCGATTAAACAACTGTAATTCGTCCATTAATGTCACATGACATATCTCATGATCTCTCATTTCCCTCACACAAAATAATGTGTAATCGGAACTGAGTGCTTCTCACATTATTACCAAAGTCCTAGGTAATAACCTTTATCGCCTCCAAAATGTCGCCAAACTACCAGTTACCATATTCCAAAGATCAGCCAAATAATATCCTCAAATAATTAAAAATACTAACTTACCTAATCTTCTTCAGAATCTTGCTTACATGGTGGATACACTTTTATTATGTATTCAATAAAATTATTGAACGATTTTTTCTGCGAATTTTTCCTTCACACTTCCTCCGCTAAATAAAAAGCAAAATTCTCTTTATCACAATGCCTCGGAATGGCGCTTTTTATAGCACTCCACGTGCCCTCTATTGTATTGGTATGTGCACCTGTTTCCGGATCTTTAAAATAATATTTGTGGTTCACAGCAAGATGTTTAAAACCTTCATCTTCCAAACATTCCTACGATTTTTCACTTTAGACAGCGCCATACAATCCCAAAATTATTCAACCCTACTTCACACAACAAACAATGAAGCTTAATACAAAATAATATACAGCCACAGATATTTTTCCAAATTCCCCCCCCTTTCCGATTAAAGAACCGTAATTCGTCCATTAATATCAGATGACATATCCCATGATCTCTCATTTCCCTCACACAAAATAATGCGTAATCGGAACTGAGTACTGCTCACATTATTACCAAAGTCCCAGGTAGTAACCTTTATCGCCTCCAAAATGTCGCCAAACTACCAGTTACCATATTCTAAAGATCAGCCGAAACATGTCTTTACTTCGTGAAGACAATATGGCGGCGAAAAAAAATAGAGGGTTGCTGTAGCAGAATTGGTCGCCAAATTTTCGCCAAAAAATCCCCAAGTTACCATAATCCAAAGATTAACCGAGTAAAGAAATAAATATTCAGCTTTTTTTTTTTTTTTTTTTTTTTTCTTCTTAAATTTTGATACCCTTTTGGATCATGATTGTTCTTTATTTCATAAATTACGGTTTCATATTTTTAATTTTAGAATTTCTGCATGCCATCTTACGAGATTTAAACTGATGATCTGTAATCCAGAATCGCCGAAGTCCCGACGAGTCCGGATTAACGACTTTTGATTGTATATTATTTAAAATAATTAAAAAACTATGCATAATAAAAGGGTTAGAGGAGACCGAAAGGTAGCCCTTGTAGGATCGTGAAGTTGTTTCGGCTCTAGTGTAGAATTGGGTGCCCCTTGATTGGCGACAAATTTTGTTTAATTTTGACAATGAAACCTCGTTTTTGGTTACCACGATAGTTTTAACTTTATTTTAGCTTCCTGATTTTATTTAAGTGAAAATAGATCAATGTGTACATGGACAAAGTTAAGGTAGTGCACAGTGCCTAGTTTGTACAAATTTCTGGTTTTTTGTGAAAATAGATTGATGTGCACGTGGACACTGGCATTGTGCAATTCTTTGACTTCTTATTTTGGTTTTGTGTAGTGGCCATCTTGAAATTGTGCCTTTCTGGCACCAATCTTGGCATCAAAGCAGAATTGCCAAAAAAAAGGGGGAGGCACCAAATTGTAAACTTTTACCGTTGTTTCATTTATCACCAAATTATTGTTTCATTTATAGTAACCTGAGTAGTTTAATGTTCTGTAAATATACTTTTACCTAGAATTGGGTGCTCCTTTGACTTTTTAAGCAAAATATATCGATGTGTACATGAACAAAGGGAGTGCGCAATGCCGAGTTTGTGTGACTCTCTGATTATTTTTTAAGTGAAAATAGGTTGACATGTACATGGATAAAATAAAGGGAGTGCACAATGCCTAGTCAAAGAATTGCACAAACTCATTATCCATGTGCCACCAAAAATCACCAATTTTCGCCAAAGGGTAACCATAAATATACTTTTACCCTTGAGTCTTAGATTTAAAAAATAAAATTTAAAAAAAATGCTCTGTAACTGCCTTCTTCAGAAATTAAATTACTCACATAATTTTTCCCTCTTGATTATTGGTCAATTAGTTAACATAGAGGAAAATACATAAGAAAATTATTAGCAGTATAAATAGTGAGTTTTCATTTTACTAAAATGACTACTACATAAAAATTTAAATAATAAAATTTTGAATATTGTGTTGCTGAATATTATGACAGAGAAGGATAGATATTATTTTAATTATGTGAAATAATACACATTTAAAATGCACGAGTTTACATGAAACAAAATATGCATGGACAATTTTCTTTCATACATATGTATTTCAAGACATTAATATAGATAGTTATAAATAGAGATGAACGTGCTCTTTTGTAGTTAGAATGTGGATGAGTACCTGATATGATAAATAAGAATATGATTTCATAGCATTTGTAAAATACAGTTTAGCTTATCAGATGTAGTGATGATAATATTGCAGAATCATCCATGTACACTAAACTGATTATCAATAATTAGTTTACAATCAATGTTATTAAAAAAGTAATGCAAAAAATTACCATTTACATCCACGTGTAAAATTATTCTGGTTTTTTCCTTGAAACTCTTTCCATGCTCCTGTAATTTGCAAAGGAATGTGTTCAAAATCATATATCTCATCACTTGAAATACTATTTACAGACTGTTCCATATCTGAAGAATGAACGTGCTCTTTTGTGTCATTATTTGAATGTGGTGACTCAATACAAACACTGAGATCAGAAGAGACATTTTGTAAATTTTGATGAATATTTTCTAATATTTCTATTTCTTTATTAGAATTATTGTCCACAGATGAATTTATAAATTCGCAGGGCGAATCTAATAAACCTTCTTTCGGTTCACAGGATTCATTTTCTACATCTATGATTTCATGAGGCAATAAAGTATCTTTTCCATCTAAACATTTGCCATCTAATAAATTATGTTCCACAGGAGTACGTGAATGATTAATAGTATCCATGTATGCATCAGAAGAATGCAAATTACTTTGACATTCTGCAACATCATTATTTAACATATTTAAATTTTCTTCGTCCATGCTGAACTAAAGTAGCAGTATTTTGAAGAATATAATTACATATATCCAAAAAAAATGAATGTTTTAATGGCTTATAATATGTTAAAGGTTTCTAACTCGTGAAATTTTCGATTTGATTAAATTAAAAAAGATCACCATTCCATAATATGAATTCAATACTTTATCTCGCTAATCAAACAAATAATTAGAATTTGTGTGTAAAAACTGCACACATGTGATCAATATTTAATATTTTACTGATACGAAAAAAAAGTTAAAAAAAGTTTAATTATGTTGACATATCACCAATTTAAAAACGTTCTTTCAGCCTGGTTTACAATTTCAACTTTGCAATCATTTCACTTCAATTTATTAATCACTCTGCCCAGTATTCATATTCAATCGTAAATATTTCTTCAATTAATTTAATTCCTAATGGATACTTCGAGAAAAACTTTTTAATATTATTTATTATCAATATTAAATTTTTCTTGAATTCCAAAGATTTCCAATCTGTGTTTCCGAGGAATTAATAATTTAACTCCGAAAAACAAATCCAAGTTTTTAAAGCTGAAAGTCGCGACTTGCGAAGTAGACAATCTTGCAGGCATGCGAATGGAGGTATCTGTGTTGTTGAATATTTTTTAATATTTTTTGTCAGTGTAGCGAACTGAGTAATTTATGTTAACTAGATTCAATATTTATTATTGATTAAAGATAGCAAAGGAAATAATGATTTACGCTGATGTTGTGATTAAATTTAAATCTCTTCCAAAAGTTAATATATCCCTGATTAGAAGGTATTCTACGCCAAGGGTAAGATTTTTGCGTGTTATAGTTGGTTTAATAAGTTTTATATTATTTAATAAGTTAGTTTTGCGTTGTTATGTACATTGTATTTAGTAGCATTAATTTTTTACATTTTAGTTGAAGCGGCAAGCAACAGAATTGGCTCTAAACCATTTCGATCAGTTCTACAGTCCTGTTTTCAAAAATTGGGCTTCCATACGATTAGGTTTGTTGTCTCCTCATAGTTACTGTGCAGTTACTAATGTATTCACTGTATCTAAAAATGTCTATGATCTGTTTGGTGACTGTGACGTTTATAACTTGAAAGATGTTTATTACTTAAATTTAAATGAATTTCATTCTTCATTTTCTTCTGAAAAAAATGTTAAGGAATCTTGTCAAAACAGTTCCGCATCTGACTCTGAACATGAACCAGTTTCTGAGGATTCGAATTCTGAATTATGCACTGGAGTGGAGCATTACAATGAAGATGAATATATGCCAGCAACAAAGTTTAAATACGGTGATGTCGACTTAGAGGAAGAGTGTTTTGAATTTTTTAAACCTACTTTGAATTACAATGCACAACTTGTACCTCATGGTATTATACAATATCCTGAAAACTGGAATATATATTTTTGTCCACGAGGAAAATTCAGAAAGTTCCCTCCTCCAAAAGAAGATTCTACCGGTTTATTAAGTAAGCATTGTCTTAGTATTCTTATTATTTTATTAAAAGTATAATTTTATCTATTTTTAATTTTTCAAAAAAGGTTCTTTCAATACCTGTAAAAGTTTTTTTGGTACCCACAAAGCAGTTTTAAAGTACCTATGGTTCAAATATCTAAATTCTAAATTTGAGATATTTGGACTACAAATGCTCATAATTCTAATGAGCAATATTTGTAAAAATTCTTATTTTATCTTTTCCATTTTGAAAATTATAAATTATGCAGTTAAAATTTAGACAAAAACTGAAATTTAGTGACATCTAGATCACCTAGGGATAAATTTTCTCTCCCCATTACCCTCATATACTTTTTTCAACCATGATATGTTATACTTTATATTCATAACCTCTGTTCATACGTAAACTTCACATTCATGAATTTGCATTTCATGTTTTAAGGAGAGTGTGCATTATTCTCTTCATATGGAAAGGTCTTGAAAAGATATATAGACAACAATGCTTTTCCAGCGGTTGGTACTAAGAAAATATAATTGAATTCCACTATAATAAACAAACCTTTTGGTACTGTTCGATTTCCTGTACACTTAATGTTATTTTATACTGCTATAGTGGATATTCAGAGGTGAGAAAATTGAATATGTTGAACTGTATGGATAGCTTCAATTTGAACATTTTTTTAAAAACTTTTTCATATTTTCTACAAATTTTAGCTAAAAGTTTCTAACCTCAATGTTCACTGGATCCACAGTTCATAAAAAATTGATTTATAGTACTAAAACAAATTTTCTGGTAATAGTTGCATTTTACATAAAATCGAACTTAGAATTTAAAAAAAAAAATTTTTTTTTTTTGATACTGTGGTCTAGTTATTCCGCATGACATTGTTTAGTTACTTTTTCCATTACAGTAGTAATCCTTGCCAAAGTGACCTATGTAATAAATATTCGTTTGTCAGTAATATTTGCAAAAAGTTTATTAATGTTTATATCATTAGAATAATGAATAAGTGTTGCTTTGGAAGGGATATATTATGTACCTTTGCAATCAATTTCTCTCCCAATCATACCCTACTACTTGCATCAGAAATAAAATGTAATGTTAACAATAAAATTCTGTGAAAACCACCATTGTCCATATCATCGTTTCCCAACTCAATTCATTACAGACCTTTTATAGTTTGAGCAACGTACTGCAACTCCTCAAGTACTTTTAATATAGTGTTTAGAAATGAATTCATTATAAGGGAGAAATTATTGTGGCTGTGGCTCAAAAGGCATTTAAATTGAAAGTTTAATATTTCTAGAAAAAATTTATCTGTCATTTTATTCTTTTTTTTCATGCCACATATATAAAAACAATCTACTTTTACATGTAACTAAATAACAAAACAATCTACTTTTACATGTAACTAAATAACAAAACAATCTACTTTTACATCTAACTAAATAACAATTTTAAACTTATTAAATTAAACTAATGTTATATCCTTTGGATGTAGTGTAGAATTGGGTGTCCCTTTGATTGGTGAAAATTTTGGTGATGAAATCCTATTTCTGGTTAAAATGATAGTTTTAACTTTGTTTTAGCTTCCTGATTTTTTTAAGTGAAAAATAGATCGATGTGTACATGATAAAGTTAAGGCAGTGCGCAATGCGTAGTTTGTGCAAATCTGTGATTTTTTTTTTAAGTGAAAATAGATCAATGTGTACGTGGACACCGAATGTATGCAATTCTTTGACTTCTTATTTTTGTTTTGTGTAGCGGCCATCTTGAAATTCTGCCTTCCTGGCACCGATATTGGTGTCAAAAAAAAATTGCCAAAAAAACAAGGGGGACACAATTTTAAACTTTTACCGATCCTTCATTTCTTGTACTGTTGAAAAGTACAAAAAACAGTTAATATACATACAGTCAAAAGTTGTTAATTCGGACACCCATAATTCAGAATAATCTATAATCCAGACCTCAAAGCTACAAACTTCCTGCGCATGCGTCGCGTTGACGCATTCGCATAGGCGTTTACGTGTGCGCCTAAGACCTTTACGGCTGTGCGCATGCACATAAAACGTTTACGCATGCATGTTTAATGTATAACGAACGGTATAAGCTGAGCTAAAATTATCTAATTCAGTTAATGTTGCAGATTGCGTTATTCCTTAATCTTCAAATTGGATCCGGCTTATTATTTTTTGCAGACTGTTTGAGCAATTTTATAAAAGTAAGCTTGAACTTTCGATTATATCAAATAGAATTTCCGATATATATTTGCTAATATGTAAAGGATCTAAAGCGAACGTATGTTTCGAAATCCAAAATCTGTTTATCAATTTCATGCTGCTCGGCGGGGGGAACGCCGCGTTGTGCAATGAATTGGAAGTTGATCTGTCAGCACTATCCTTATCTTCAGAGCAGATGTTTTTATTTTTTTATTTTGGCTTATAATTACTAATGTAGTATTTCATCTCGATGTACTCCGTCTTTTATAATTCCTTTAAATGTAGTATTTCATTCGATCCGTTTATAATTTAAAAAAGTTCCTCGTCATTATAATTGCTTCCGATAGTGAAGAAAAGTGACCCAGAGGTTATTGAAAACGAAAAAATTTCGATTGACAAATTAGTCGGTCTTCTCGACACAGCAATATAGGACTTGAACAGCGGAACTTTGTAACCTAAACAAGAAATATGTCTGTTTAATAGAATTAAAGAGAAAGTATTATCACATGAAACGAAGCAACTTAAACAACTTACATTGAAAGAAATGTTTAATAAAGTAAATAAATAAATATTAAGCTTTTTCTTTTTGTAAATTTTGATACCCTTTAGATCATAATTGTTCTTTATTTAATAAATTACAGTTTCATATTTTTAATTTTGTAATTTCTGCATGCCATCTTACAAGATTTAAACTGATGATCTATAATCCGGAAAAATCGATAATCCGGAATCGACGAAGTCCCTACGAGTCCGGATTAACGACTTTTGACTGTATTAATTAACTCATTGTAACCCTCCCCTTCCTATATTGTGCCGTCTCATGAAACCCTAATCAGTCACTTTTCCTGGTTATTTTGTATAATATAAATTTTAAAATCCAGGCATCCAATATCTGGAATGATCTAAAATCTGGATGCTCAGCAAAACTGCTGCAAATTTAAGTTTTGTTCTTGAAACCAAACTGGTGAGTCATCATTTATTATTTGTTTGGTATCATCAAGGCTTGACTATGAACGCATGGCAATTTGAAGTACCACATGCAATGATGTTCTTAATATCTTTTTTTTTATGTTGGTATTATTCTTAGCTATGATTACAAACTTCAACTATGTTTAGGCTTGCCAGATTTCTGAAATGTTCAACCAAGACACCAGAATGCCCCCCCCCTAGCATAGCGGGTATTCGAGGGTACTCAGCCTTGGCAGGTTTTTAGAGTGTTTTAGAGAGAAGTTTATTCTCAATGCTATAAATAAATGGTTTCTGATTAAGAACCTAAATCGGGGGCAATAATAAATGACAAAAGTATATAAATTTAAGCATTTTATTTCTTACATGTTAATATTTATAAGTTACTTAAATAAGAAGAAACACCTTGAACAATATTTACATGTACTTTTTGTTGACTAGGACTTTTGTTAGAAAGTCTTTTTTGGTTTTAATCTTGTTGGAGAAATCTTCACAAGCTTATCCAATATTAATTTTACATGGCATCAAGCCTTTAACTGTAGATTCCTTTATCTAACCCTTATTGTCAGTTCATGTGTTGTTCATCAGAGAAAATGCTCTCTCAACTGGTCCCAGGTAAGCAGAAGGTGTACTCAACAATCTTGATCAGACTGGAGTCTGCTGTGTGATTCTCCTTGAAGTGACCAAACAGCCTGAGCCATTTTTCTTTAGTTGAAATAATCACATCTCTGGTGGTAGTCTCTTCTTGCTTCCACTGTTCCCAATTTTACTGAAAATACTCCTTAGTAAGCACAACTTTGTCAAAGAGCTGATGATTTTCATATCGGGTCCATCAAGAAGACTGCTATTAATAATTTCGGCAGAACTTTCAGCCTTTTCCCCATTCAATAGCCGTTGTTTTGGTTAGATTGCCCCATGAAAGCTGTTTAGCATATTCCAAAGCTGTTCTTCCAGAGGTCCAAATATGCAATGCATCTTTGATAAAAGCCTTCTTTCACGCTGTTATGGACTTGCTCATCTGGATTCCTGTAGATGTTTTTTGCACCTATAGGAATAAAGTTTAAAGCCTTTTTTTCTGCCAGGTTTCTTTTAAGAGATTTATGAGCTTCAGCAACCTCAAAAGCTGTAATGTTATCTTTTTCCATTACCAGAATGGCCTTGTTAAACAGTGCAAGTCGTCCGTGGACAAACCACAAGTAGAGCTTGCCCGTTAAATCAGTAAACAAGTTTTTTATTGTTCATGGGCACATTTCTTGGTTTAAAAAAAATGCTTTCAGACCTTCAAAATTCTGTAAAATTCTTTCCAGCACGGGCATCATTGATAGAAACCGGGTGTTCCCGTGTTGAATGAGTTCACGGTACTGTATCTTGGCATATTAAAAGTTCTTTAGTTTAGTTGCATGGACTGTGTATATGTAGAAGTACAGTACAAAGTCCGTAATCCAGACATACATTATCTGGAATGATCTACAATCCGGACCTCAAAGCCACAAACTTACGCATGCGTTTACTGTGGGTGTTCGCTATGCATGTGTGTAAAGCGTTTTACCCTCGCGCTTCCGATAGTGAAGAAAGGGACAAAGAGGTTATTGAAAACAAAAAAATTTCGATTGACAAGTTAGTCTGTATTCTCACCACAGCAATTACAGGACTTCAACAGCGGAACTTTCTGACTGAACAAGAAATTATGTCTGTTTAAAGAATTAAAGAGAATGTATTATCACATAAAAAACGAGGCAACTTAAACAACTTACATTGAAAGAAATGTTTAATAAAGTAAACAAATAAATATTAATCTTTTTTTTTTGTAAATTTTGATACCCTTTAAATCATAGTTGCTCTTTATTTCATAAATTACAGTTTTATATTTTTAATTGTATAATTTCTGCATGCCATCTTACCAGATTTAAATTGATGATCTATAATCCGGAATCGCCAAACCTCAATTTCATTTGGAAGACTATCTACTGCAGTTTGCACACAATGTGTGCTCCACATCTGATTCCATTAATTTCCCATCCTAGACTATGCTTGAGTCGATGGAAAACATTGTGTTTCCCTCCTCTTTTTTTTCACAGCATAAAAGTTAGTGTTGCCTTTATCTCCACAAAAGCCAACTACTTTGTTGTTCAAATCATTTGGCAACAGGACAGAGCATAAGTGATTTGTCAGAATTTCAGATGTTTCACCCACTACAGATTTGAAATCTAACAGCTTTACTTCACCTGAATTAGGATTAAAGCAGCACACTACAATTGGCACAAGTTTTATATCTTTTCTATTTGATGCATCTGTACTTACAGATATACAGTTTGGCTTGGTCGTCAAGTCTTCTTTAAGCTCTTCTTGAGGCTAAAGGAGCTAAGACATTTAAAACTATTGCCTGATACTTAGTTTTTCCAAGTGAGAATTTAGGTTAAAAAAATTTAGAAATTAGTTTTGATGAATAAGAATTCGAATTGAAACTTCGGCTATAGTTTGCTGTTTGGTAAGCAAAAATTGGCTCTTTTGCTACTAAGTTTCTGTCATTAGAACTCGCAGTCTTAAAAAAACTGTTCAGTTTTGATGATTTAGCAGTGCATGCTAAACTCTTTTTGTGTTTACTCGACTGCAAATGATGTTTTATATCAGATTGACCACTGTGAAGAACCGAAAACTCAAAATTACGATATGAGCATTTAAATCTATGGTCTTGATCTTGATTACCAGTACCAGTACGTACCTTCTTCAAAAAAGGGAATTCATTCTGTAAATCCTCGGTGAATTTACACGACCATTTTGGCATTTTAACAGAGAATGCATAAACTTCAACTTAAAACATAAATGAAACAGCACTAGCTCACTATCACAACAGGTAACGCCGACAGAGACTGACTTACCCTATCTCTATCGCAAGCAATTAGCGCCAAGGTAGGCAAGTCCAATGTTTTGCACATGAGGTGGTGTAGCATGTAGCGAAATCTCGTCTGGTGCTAAAGTTACATCCCTTATTGCCCAATATTGGACTCGTCCGGAGAGTCTTTCATATTGCACATGGTAACAATGGTGAGACAAGATGATACGATGACAATATTATTTATTAGCAGACCATCCACGAAATCCGGACTCGTCAGGACTTCAGCGATTCCGTATTTGGGATTTTTCTGGATAGTAGATCATCAGTTTAAATCTAGTAAGATGGCATGTAGAAATTATAAAATTAAATGAAATCATCATTTATGAAATAATGAAGTATTTATAATCTAAAGCGTATCAAAATTTACCAAAAAAAAAAAAAGCTTAATATCTATTTGTTTACCTTATTAAACATTTCTTTCAGTGTAAGTTGTTTAAGTTGCTTTGTTTTTTGTGCTAATACTTTTTCTTTAATTCTGTAGACAGACATAATCTCTTCTTCAGTTATATTGTTGAAGTCTTGTAACTGTTGTTTCGCGAATTCTGACTAACTTGTCAATCGAAATCTTCTCGGTTTCAGTAACTTCTCTGTCAATTTCTTCACTATCGGTAGTGATATTTCATGGATCTAGAACCATACTACAGATTTCGCCAATCATTAATTAATTGATGATTGAGAAGCACTGTCATCACAATGAAAAACTTCTTTTATATCATCTTCATTTATTACAGCTTATCCAGATTTCTTTACAAATTCTGTTAATTGGAAAATTTGACCTTTGTTTTGCAATATCCAAAAACCTGTAAAAATTAGAGGCATCATCATCAAATTTAGCTATCTTCACTATACATATCTGGCTATGTATCATGAGCTTGGCGACTAATGACAAGTTGTTTCGTTAAATTTTATCTTGCTTCTATCGCACACTGAGACAATTAAGCCTGAATTGTATTAGTTTAGTTATTTATTATATACATTATTTATTATGTCTATTTCTTGCACATGTTTAAGGCTTATTAGAGTTCTAAATAAATAAATTCCCATGTATACTTAAGCCTTATTGAGGGCCGGGCTAGATATCTTACCTGATGCAATCTCTGTGGGTCCTAAATTCTTCAACTCTGTGCGGCAATTCGAGCCCTGGTGCTGATTCTGGGTTTATGTGAAAACAAATCAGTTATTCTTAATTCAAATAGCCCTAAATGTAATCTTTGGGTCTACGAGTGTCATCATCAACAAAATCTATTTTTAGCATATGGAAAGACATTTTTGATAAATTTTTCCTCGTCAACATTTTTTAGTGCATCATTGCCAAGCGTAATGTCAACATAAAAGGTTACCATATCCCTTTATCATTCAATTACTAACAAAAAAAAAAAAAAAAAATTAGGCATCACTACATGAGTCATTACTCAAGTTGTCATGTTTTGATAAACATGAGGTGATAAAAGATATGTATAATAAATAATGATTCGCCAGGTTGGCGTCAGATAACGATGTATCTATGTGGAATGTTTCGGTGTGTGCCAAAAAGCAGATATGCAGCAGCGAAACGAAATTACTGATTGCAAAAATTTATGCTAAAATATTTGTTTATTCAATAACAAAGTATTTTATTTAGTGTTTGAGTGAAATTAAGAATCGGTACTTTCCAGATGTTTTATTATGTGTAGAGGGGGGGGATTAAATGGGCATGTGTAAAACCTAGGAGAAGAACATTGTTGGTGGTTTTGAGGTCCGGATTTTAGATCATTTCAGATAATGGACGTTCGGACTTTGTACTGTAGTATTATTTATGTATCATATGGAAAAAAATTTTCTTCTTTTCCTTCTTATGCAAAGGATAAGTGAAACAAGAATGTAAAGAAATGCAGCTTAATTTCATGAATGAACATCTGTTAGTTTATGGCATTGAAAAATGGAATAAAAAGTATCTTCCATAGGCTTAATTAAGCTTATTTCAGATTATCATAAGCTCTGAAATTTCAAGTACTGGAGTATAGTAGTCTAATGATGATTCTCATAACAGATGATCTACCAGGCTGCATCTTAAACAACAGTTGGCATACCCTGTATTTATCTTTGGTAATGACTATGAATCAGGTGATTTGGACTTGATTGGTTTTCTCCTTGGCCTTGCTTATGTTTGGATGACTCATTGCATTCTCACAGTATTCCCACCTCTCCAGCAATCTACTAATGTAATAAAAGTAGATATGCATAATTTATTTGTATTTATTTAGTTATGTACTGCTGACTTTGGGGTGATTAAGTATAGCAATTTTATCAGTTTCTTTGTCTTTGATAATGGTTCATAGGCAGTAAGTCACCTTTCCTTTTGGGAGAATAATGATGCACTTATCAGATCTAATTGTTTTTGAAGGTAATCTACTAAAACTTTTAGATCATTTTCATGATTCTCATGGCATAAAAGCACTGAGTACTTAAGCGATACTGGAAAAAAACGAAATTAAATGTGGAAAGATTCAGGCGGCTGAGTCTATGTTATTTTCACCTTTTTGTGTATTCCAGATTTCTAGTTTTTGACATCTAGCCTTCTGCGGATGGGTTTGTGTTAATAGATGGGATTGCTATAGTCTCTTATTTAGACTAAGCACTTTTATTCAAGGGTTATTTTCCCCTGCCTAACTTACTTTGTAACCACGGTAATGATAGCTCTGGCAGATGGTCAAGTCTGTAATTGTTTCTACCCCCCCATTTCATTATCCTTTATCATATTCTGCTTTGCAAAAACCACATGAATGAAAGCTGACTTTAATAGTAGTATCAAATGAGGTGAAGAAAACAAGTGCTGTTTGGTGATGATGAAATGCAAAATGAAGAAATGGGAAAAGACCTTGAAGCACTTTTTTTTTTATTTTTTTTTTTTTTTAACCAGATTGTTGTGTCCAGATCCCCACCAGAGTTATCCTGCCAACAATTGAAAGTGTGAATAGCAGTTAATATATAAGTGCCTTTTTTAATTAAAAATGATATATATATATATTCCATAATTTAATGCGTAGAAGAAAAAACTAGAACTTTTAACAGCTTTCGATATTCATCATGGCTGAGAAGACAGTAGTATTGACTGAAAGTAAAAGCTATGATGACGCAGTTAACTCAACTGAGTTTGAAGAAGTCCCAGTCTTTATTTTTACATATTTCAAACTATCTTAGTAGACATTTATCCAATCATAATGAAATACGATAATTTTTATATACACTAGTTTTAAAGGTAAGATGTAAGCATTTAGGACAGCATAAGCAGCACAGAGTTCTTTGCAAAGTAGAATCTAGGAAAACGAATGATGTAGTTGTTGTGCCGAGAATATTTATACCAATTCTGATGCATAAATACAGCTAATCTGTGAATTTTAGGTTGTTATATAACATGGCAAGATCTCCAATTTGGGAGAGCAGATGAATTTAGAGGGGAGAATATAAAATCTAGAATAGTTAATTTTGTGCCAGTTATTCTTAAAGCAGCCACCGTATTTTGTTATATCTTACATATATATATATAGTATATAATCTTTTTTTTTTCTTTTTTTTTTCTCAGATTATTACCTGATGGATGGAGCTTCAATACTGCCTGTATTAGCTCTAGATATTCAGAAAGGTGAAGAAGTTGGTGATTTGTGTGCTTCCCCTGGGGGAAAGACTCTTGCTATTTTATTTGGGATGCAGTTCGGTGAGCATTTGCTATGCTAATTCAATCGATATTAATTTAAGGTAGTCACTTCTGTTAAATTGATGAAAATAGTATAACATGTCATGTTATACATCCTTGGCTGCAATAAGTTCTATTTTATGATTGATAACATGACAGTGATATAAAATGTTTAAGAGTAAGTAGGAAAACAAATTTGTTTGTTTGCCTGTTTTTCTGCTGTAGCAAAGCAATTATCACTTTTGAAGTTGATGAAAGTGATGTAACTGAGGCTTCAAAGGCTTGAGAGCAAATAGAATTGGTTTTTGCTGCTGTACAACAATCATCACTGTTGGAAGCTGGTAAAAATGACAAAGCTTCATTTTCTTAAAGATTTCCCAGACATTTCTTTACTTTGGTTTTGACGATTTCTGTGAACTCACCTTCCATAGACAGATAGATGTTCTTGCCATAATTAAGCTTTCCAGTCTAGAATTTCGAGTTTGCAGTTCTTAAAAATTTATTAGTGAGCTTTGGAGAGGCTCATCAGCGTACGTTATTGTTATTGACAAAATCCATTTAGAATTTTAATCCAAAACACATTCCCAATACATTTCATAAAGGTTTAACGTTTTCTTTATTAATTAATTTTTTATTATCTTTATTTTCTTTATTAATAATAATTATCATGTAACAGTAATGATGTAAATAGTTTTACAAAGTGAAACCTAAACAGCTGATGATAATTTTATAGCTTTATTAATTAGCCAATCAAAATGATGTCAAATCCAAAGTAACCCAGGAATTCAAGAAAGATTATTTCCTGAACACACTTTGTCCTTGCTCCTCAGTCTAGCTGCATACTGCTTCTCTTCTTACTGCAAAGATATCAAAAATGCAAATGTTCTAGAACAGACACAATTAGTATGTCAACCTAAAATATTAAATAAAATGCCACAAATATTAACTTGAAATAAAAATGAATATTTAAATTTGCCTCAGCTTCCAAGTTTGTTCTCATTATGGATCAACATCTATGCTGGTACTTTTTTACATTGTTACATAAATAGGTGTTACATAATATGCATATGTGTTACATAATATTTTACATTGTTACATAAATATGCTGCTTCTCTTCTTACTGCAAAGATATCAAAAATGCAAATGTTCTAGAACAGACACAATTAGTATGCCAACCTAAAATATTAAATAAAATGCCACAAATATTAACTTGAAATAAAAATGAATATTTAAATTTGCCTCAGCTTCCAAGTTTGTTCTCATTATGGATCAACATCTATGGTAGTACTTTTTTACATTATTACATAAATATGTGTGTATGTGTATTTAAATTTGTTGCATAGCCATATTACCTAAATTTTCTTAAATTGTTAAGCAGTTACCTGACAAGCTTAAAAAATGTTAGATAAAGTCAGCATCTGAAAACTGATTATCTTTATAGGTACATGCAATTGTGTTTGGTATTGTGCTACCATACAAGCAGGCTAAGGGTGATGTCCATAATGGGCATTGGTCTGCAATCATGTTTTGATTTAGGATTACATCATTCTACAAAATCAGATTACATTAAATGAATAAATAAATTTCATCCAGTTTTACTACCCTCTGTTATTTTTATTTTAAAACCTATTTATTTGCAGGTAAGCTGGTTTGCAATGATTCGTCTGTTTCCAGATTAAATAAACTTAAAACAGTCTTAAATTCATATTTACCTGCTTCTCAAGATTGGAGTAAGAGGATACTAGTCTCTAACTTAGATGTTTGTGAGTGGACTTCCTTTGAATTATTTGATAAGGTAAATGTTAAAAAAGAAAAAGGTTAATTATGCATTCTATTTTATTGCGTGCAATCAGTAGTGTAACTAGAACTTTTGGACCTATATCCAAAATTCCTAATTTCCTTCACGAAAAAAGTAAAAAGGGAAAATTTTCAGTGATCCTAGAATTAGCTTTTTCAGTAATGACTTATAATATTGTCCAATTATTTAAACATATGAAACTAGATAAAAAGCTTTCTTAGTTATATAAAAAGTTTTAGAGTCTAACATTGTGAACGGAGATAAAAGCAAAAACATCATCTGCACTAACATATATTTATTAAGCACAAAAAAAAAAAAACATAGTGAAAATATACAAGGTAAAGGAACTATAGTGACAACAACTGAAACCGTTGCCAGAAAGAAAAATTTAAAAAAACATGTTGCCGCACAGGTTGCAAAAATATAATCACAAATATAAAAGTTATTTGGGTAAAAATATATTTACAGGTGCCTCCTGGCAATAATTGGGGATTTTTGGCAGTACATGGACACCGAGTTTGTGCAATTCTTTAACTTTTTATTTTGAATTTGTGTAGCTGTGCAATTCTTTGACTTTTTATTTTGAATTTGTGTAGTGCCACTACACAAATCCAAAATAACAAGAATTTGTTACTTGGTATCAATTAAAAAACAAACTTGGTATCAATTAAAAAAACATTAGAGAATTGCACAAGCTAGGCATTGTGCACTGCCTTAACTTTGTCCATGTACACATCAATCTATTTTCACTTAAACAAAATTAGGAAGCTTAAACAAAGTAAAATCTATCATGTTAACCAGAAAATTTTTGCCGCTGTCTTAACACACAGAGATGAACAAATAACCAAAAATACGTAAACAGACAGTAATAAATAACCAAAAATGCATATATCATAACATAAAAACATTAAACAACAAATCTTTTAACAAAAATTAGCCCACAGAGACAACTAAATAAATGAAACATCAATTTTTTAACATACCTTATTTTCACGTGCATATGTTTAGGCTTCCCACTACCATCTCTTCCATCCTCCATGTAAGCAATTCAATTAAATTTTTGGTTGCTTCGGCTCATCCGCTGTTAATGGTGGATAAATATGTATAATAGCATCCAAGAAATCCATAAATAGATCCCCCCTGGGCCTTCTTGCGGCGCATGTATTCGGCCATATAATAGTCCAAGCTGTCCTTTGTTTTCCTCCTGACTAAACCATGTTTAACTGCATTCCATGTTCCTTCTATTTTATTAATGCCGACACCTGTATCCGAATCCTTAAATTGCTGACTGTGATCTACTATTAAGTGCCCAAAGCCTCTGAAAAGCAATTGTATGTCTTCCAGCAGTCAGAAATTATTGTTGTATCTGGAAGAATATACTCATTTATAACACTAAGCAAACTTTCAGACGACTTTTCAGGCACCACCTTCATTAAACATTACGCACATGCAATCATACACAGCAATTGAAAAGAATGCTAAGAATAAAAAAACCAACCCGGTCCATACATACAAAAGGGTTACTATTACATCACAAAAATATTAACACTTTAATAAAGACAAAAAATTGCTTTATTTGAAGATTTTGATCAGTATTGGTCATTTAAATGATTAAAGTTTCGGGCAATAGAATATTTTTAAATTATATGAAAGCAGTCTTATAAAAATGAATGAACCTCTAGATGTTTGTAGAAAATATTAATTTTCGTTTCTGGAAAAATAAAATAAAGTATTTGGCAGCCACAATTTTAAGAAATGCATTAAGAGAAGACATTAGCATTTTCTTAGTTTAGTATTTCATTGAGTTTAATTTATAAAAGGAGAAGGATGATAATTTTCAGATAGCATGTGTGAATAAGATATTATAAATAGAATTTTATGTTATAGAATGATTTCTTGATACATTCTTATCATAAAGTGAATAAATCGAAAATTGTATGATATACTTAATCACAAATTATTTAATGGATAAAATAATCATAGGAGCTGTTTGTATTTTTATAATCTTTTATTATAATGGTTTTGCCTTTTGCTTGTTTCTCATACAGATTCTGTTAGATGTTCCATGTACTAATGATCGATTATCAGCTACCAAAGACAGCAACAATATTTTTCAACAGAAACGATTTAATGAGCGATTGCTAATTCCACGAGTTCAGACTTCTATGCTGTGGTATGTAGTGTTTAATTTTTAGGGCACGGAGCTTTAACATAATAATTTAATGTATCTATTTTCGTAAGTTCCTGCAAAAGTGGGTTTTATTTATTTATTTCATTATGACTTCTAAGCAGTTAGCCCTCTAAGAGACTAGAGCCATATATATGCATTCAAAAATATTTGTCATTCTAGCTTTAAGTACACAGACTTAAAGACTATATTAACATATTTCAAAACTTGGTCTTAAAATTTCAAGACTTTTGTGTTGTCTATTTAATAAATTGACATATTTGAAGACTTTGTCTTGAAGTATGTTAATATAGTTAAGGCAGAATTGGTAGAGAAGGAATAAGTGCAAAATGAAAGAATAATTTTAGAATTTTAAAAAATACAATTTAATCATGGCATTTTCACAGCCAAACACATGGCCTCTTAGAGGGTTAATCCTGAAAATTTTATTTTCTGTTTTTGATGTCTGTATTTAATTTAGTTGCAGCTGAAGAAGGGAGTAATATGTAGTAAGATATAAAATAAAACTAAGTATGAAATAGTGCTGTTTATTTATACACAGTTATTTGTCATGGGAAATTTGATGAAACTTTCTTAAAAAGTAAAATTCTGATCTGTTAAAATATAAAATAAACTTAAAAACTCCTGCTGTTTTTAGAACTCATGAATGGATTTTTTTGCAACTGGCGAATGAAGTTTACTTTAGCGGAAAGGACTTTATTTATGAATGATGTCAGAAGTGAAAGCAAAAGTATTCATTATAGAAATAATACATTATTTTCTAACTAAAAGGCTTTATTATTATATTAGTTCTGCAGAATTAAGAAATAGTATCCTCAGGGCTCGTCTTTGTAGTGACCTTGGCATGAGAAAATGGCACTGTCGCTATTTAGGCTAGAGAAAGTGTGTTTCATTGCCAGTTGTTATAAGTGCGCACAAAAACAAAATTGACTAAGACAATAAATAGGCTGTTTACAATATGCAAAGAAGAAATGTAAGATAAATTTGTATTTATTATAGCATTTAATAATTTATATAAGAATAACATACATAAACATGTTGGATGCCCAGCAGCGGCCGAGCAGTAAAGACGCTGAACACTGGTAGTTTGGTTCGAGGTTTGAATCCGGCGAATGGGCTGGCTGAATGGGTAATCTATATTTTCTAAATAGAAAAAAATGTAAAATCCCTACCATGGCACCAACATTGAACAGAGAAAGGTCTGTGGTCTGTTTCCAGCAAACAGCTGTTTCAAATAATGTTTCTGCAAATTTTTGATTGCAAGAAAGAGGAGTAATTTTTTCTGCCTTCCTCAGAAAGTTATAGACATTATATTTTCACTCAATCAGCAGGAAACTAAAGAAGATGAATGGGAGTTCTTGGTACTCTGTGCTTATAATGGAAACGAGTTTTTCCTTTACATAAACGTCAAAGTGATTCACAGTGATTGGCTGTCTGCAAAGAAGAAAAACTGACAGTTAATCTTCCAAAATGTTTTGAATGTTTGATAGGCCTTTACAACTCAATCAAAGAATGCAAATGGAATCAGTGCACCCATTTAAATTCTTTAACTCGGCGGTCAGTGCATGTTATAGTACAGTCTTCTAAAACATGCCTATTGTGTGCCTTGGATAATCTTTATATAGAAATCATAGAAACGTAGAGTTGAAAGTAAAAGAATAGTTACATCAAGGTATTTTCCTCTATCCTCATGTAATGAATCCTAACATGACGTAATGGATCCTAAGGGTTAGTAGTCTTTCATTAAAATTTTCACAAATTCTGGACAGAAATATGAAAAGTATAAGAATGTTTCAGTTAAAGATATTTATAAAGTTTTTAAAATCTTGTTTTCATACATTTGAATGTTCACTATTGCCATATAAAATAACATAGAAAGTGTGTAAAAAATTAGATGGGACCAAAGTGTTTGTTCATTATAATCTGAGTTTATATTCAATAGGTTACCCCTATGATTAAAACAAGAGATTTTGATTTTTCACTTGTGTCTTATAAATACAGAAATAAGTAGTTTAATGATCAAAAGTGTAAATGTATATTAAATTAAATCTATTTTTATTGTAACAAGAATTATTCATTGTCAAACTATTTATGTTTTTGAAGTTAAGTTAATATTCTTGTATTTAAATTTCTTGTTCATGTAACTAATTGAAGCTAATTTTCTTTCTATAGTGCTGCACTGAAAGCTTTGAAACCTAATGGCTCACTAGTCTATTCAACTTGTTCTCTATCACCTCTGCAGAATGATGGTGTTGTTCATATGTCTCTGTCAAAATTGCTATCTGAATGTCCCTTTGAATTTATTGTTAATGATTTGAGTGATGCTTTTAACCCAGTTAGAAAAATGTTTCAGTTTAGTGATACCTGTAAATATGGACAATTGGTGGTACCATATTTACCTCTAAATTATGGCCCTATGTATATTTCAAAGATTTCAAGAGTTAAATAAATTACTGTTTTATCTGTGCTTTTTGTTACATGTAAAACTTCTTCTAAAATTCTTCTTATGTTGTGTTTTTAAATGAACAGGAGTAAAAAAACATTTTTTATAAACAATTGCATGTAAATTGTGTTTTTCTGAAATAATGCTACAAGCTTTGAATTCTAAGCAATATTTTGAGTAACCATATTTAAAGACTTCAAAGAATTTTTTATGAAGCTATATCTACATGTAAACTGACAGAATAAATTTTTATGTGTAGCTTTATTTTTGTGAGCAAAAATGTATCAATTTAATGGCTAGCAGAAAGGTAATATACTAATTTACAGTAGCTTAATTTTCAGTAATGTACTAATTTGCAGTAGTTTGACTTTCAGTAATCCCTTAACTCTGTATTTTAATTTGGATATTTACCCTATCCATCCAAAAAATAGAATCTGCTTATACTAAACCTCTCTAGACTGCATCATTTTCAACTTAAACAGCATGGAACTGAAATACTGTATCTTCAAAACACAGCATATTAAAAAAGCATTTATATACTCATATAGGACGCATTAACAGACACATTAACAGAATAAATGAAACTTATCTGTAATAAAAATAACACATTCACAGAATAAATGAAACCATACCTTTAATAAAAATAACACATTCAAGGAATAAATGAATTTAGTTAAACAGCATGGTATAGAAATATATACCATATATACCCGTGTATAAGTCAAAATATTTTGGACCAAAAAAAGACTTCAAAGTGGGGGGGGGGTTCGACTTATATGCAGGGCATAAAAAATAAAAGAATCGTTCAAAAATTTCTTTAATAATGCAGTGTTTTTTCTCCCGCACTCAAATTGGATGACTTATCAAATAAGTCACTATTTGAAGTAATTTCATGACTTAAATTATGTGATGAACTAATCACAGAGTTTCCATACTTTAACTAGAGTAAGTTTCGATAAACCAAAATTTTCAGCCCCCGAACATCCGATCAAATCGAGCAATAAAAAAGTTTGCCAAACGCCAAGAAAAGAGAAATGCAGATGTTTTTATGTACATAAGCCTTTATTAGTATTGTTCATTCATGAAATATTTTGTTAACAGGCATACACGTCAAAATTTTAAAAAATAGCCCACGCAATATCTGAACAGTTTTGAATATTTCTTTTAACTTTTAAAAAGTGAAAATGCAGATAGATTTTACGTACGCGAATCTTTTCCGGAACAAATTCTAGAAGGTTACTATATACAAAGGGAGGCAACATTAAAAAGCCCGATATTACATTAATTGCTCAGTGGGTTAAAGATGCTTGGAACGAAATACCTTCTGAAATGATTATAAAATCATTTTAAAAATGTTGTATTAGCAACGAACTAGACGGCACAGAAGATGATGCTGTTTTTGAAAGTGAAAATGACGACGAAGGCTATAGTAGTGATTGTAACAATACAGAGTTCGAGACTGAAAATATGTATAATGATGAGCCAATGATGACAGAAGAGTTCTATGAAATGTATGGCAAATCTGACCATGAATCAGACGTTGAAGGATTTTGATTTTGTTTATTTACCAAGGTATTTTTTATCATATATTTACTTTTTTTTCTCAGATGATTTTGAATAATTGTAGTACTTAAAAAAAAAAAATTTCGAAGTTTCTCGATCGATTTCGGAAGTGGGAGGTCGACATATACGCGGGTTTCTTATTTTCTACGAATTTTTTATGTCGAAGTGGGGAGGTCGACTTATATACGGTATTTGCCACATACTATTTTAAAAAGGCATTTATGTACTCATATAGGAAGAATTGTAGGAGCGCAGCTTTAATCCTAGTAAACGGTGCATACGGGATTTGGCGACTTTATGATGAGCAGTAAATGAATATTAAACGGGTCATTTTGGTGTTAGCAATAATTTTCAAAAATAGTGCCAAAGCTGCACCGTGTACTAGGATTTTATTGGAGGGCATACCAGGTAGAATTATTTTAATCCCCAAAACTTGTTAAATGATAACTACGGCAAACACTATTGATGTTGGAATCTCAGGAAATCAAAAAGTCACCAAAGTAGCGATAACAAAATAGGTACTATTCCGTTTTAAGGACCGTAAAAAATTGCAGCAAAAATGTATGCGCAAAACCACCAAATCTAGCAAACGCACCCATTTAACAGCGCGCCAAATCTAGCATATGCACTGATTTCAAACACCAGATTTTTTTTAAATAAATATGTTGTAAACATACAGGAAATTCACTTTTTTATTAACCATATTTATTATTTGTACTACTGTATCACATTGTAGTACTTGTTACAAAATTTTAAACTTTATTTCATCTTTATTATATGGAAATTAGACTAAATAATATGATGTAGTGGTTCTTTATGTTCACAGTAACAATATTACATTTGTTACTCAATTTTTCATTCATATTATTTATTACTGAATTATTTATTCATTAGGCTAAGAAACTGTCAGAGGAAAACTTTGAGCACCTGGAAGAAACAAAAATTAGTTATGTTAAATAATTATTATTGTTTCAAATCTTTCTTTATCAGCTAGTGCTATACATATGATATACTGAAAAAGGTTAATATATATTACGACCATTTATAATATATAAGTTCATTTATCCACACATAAGACAAATAGCAGCACTTGTAAGCCTCATTTATATTTATGATTCAGAAAGGGCCACTGGGCTGCTCTCACTTATTTCGTATTAATATCTACACTTGCCTTTTCCAGAAAAGAATGAAATAGTGTAACAGCAAGACATGAATTTGCTGCAACATATTAATACTAGAGTTCAAAACCAAGATAATTTAAAACAAGTGTAAGAGAAGAACAGAGATTTTAAAAATAATTAAAATTCAACCCTCAGTTTATAATTTTTTAAATGCAGAGATAAAACTCCTGACTACCAAGAGTACGTCAGACACTAAAGTACACCAGATCATCACTCAAAAATGCACAATTGTTCTACATCAGTCTCAAGTTGAATTTTGCCCAGAGGGAAAAAATTTTGCATGGATACTTAATCAAAAACAATCAAAATTTCTCTTCTATAAAGGAGAATTCCAATATTTTTCTTTTGCTGGTATATTGGAAATTTACTTCTTCCTACTACAAAACCGATTAAGCACCAGATCTCTTTTGTAGGAGATGTGTGTGTGTGTGAAAACTCCATATTGCTGAGAATGAAAATGCTTTCCATTCAATATATGACAACAGGCATGTGATCTCGGGTAGACCAGACCATACTAAGGCTAGTGCAGCCAAACCAGGTAGCAAGGTTTTTAGAATTCAATAGCGTGTATTTAAGACTATGGTTTTTAGTATGTTTTCATGTTGAGATAGCTTACAGCAGTTAAGAGAAAAAAATATTCATATTTTTACTAAGAACAGCTAAATGACTGATGTATAAGGCATACTATTAATAAGTATGCAGAAGCACACTGGAATATCTGCTACACTAATATTGTTTGATTATGTTTAAGTTCTATGTATCCATTCCTTCTAGGATTGAAATATTTGATTATGACAAAGCACTATTAAGTCTATTAATGGGAAGCAGTACAAAACTGCTTTTATAGAAAACTTTCTAAGGAAAACTGGTCCATGGTTACTGGTTACATAAGAGGAGAGAAGAACCACAAAAATCTCGTGTAACCAGCCTGTATAATAAATTGAAATATTTTGTTTATTGTTATCATAGCAACTCTATGAATGTTAATAACATGAATATGGTTATGCAAAAATGTTATTTTTTAATGTTGATGAAACAACCACCATTCAATGACTTTAATTACGCTGGCACTGAAAAAGCACTGAATACTTTAACAGACTTCTGCAAAAGAATAATTTGTATTTCAGTTAACCTCCTTTTGAACCACTTTTAACTTCCACTACAACCAAAACAAGTTAACATGATAGAGGAAGCATTTGACTGAAAATTTACTCAGCCATTTGGTTAAGTATCTTTATATTCAGTAGCATTAGCACATCATGCAGGAATATCATCTTTTATTTTTACAATCTACAATACAAATTACAGTCTTTGTGCAATTCAGTTGCTTCTTAAGATGAGTAGTATAAATATTACATGTATATTAATAACATAACAGTTTAAAATTTAGAAGGATAACAAAACATACCTAAGAAATATTTTTAGATTTATAAAACAAATACTGTTTAATATAATTGCATAAAATTTTGAAATTTATCATTACATATACAAAGTATAGGGAAAATATTAAACTGAAAGAATCAACAAGAACTTCATATTTAATTGCTTTTACTGATTTTTACAAATCTGGAAAAATACTCCAATAGAAAAGACATTTTATCAAACTCTTTCCTTAATGAAGTATTCATCCAGTATTTTTATTATAAGCACGCAATTACAAAAAACAAGAAACTGAAGATATAGAAATATTATTTACATAATTAGATTTACTGTTACATTAAAAAATCATATAACTATAAATGATTTTAAAAAAATAACTTTAAAAATTTGTTTGAACACTAAATTAAAATTTTCACACAAAAGTGTACACAAGTAGAGCATTTGTTCCCCCCCCCAAAAAAAAATTTGCAAAATTTATTAAATATATTCAGTATTAAATGAAGCATCAATTCAAATAAATACACCAACTAAAAACATTTTTTTTTCAATTTTCCAAGTATATCTTAATAATTTCTTTACTTTTATTCATCAAAAATTAGCTTCTTTATTTTTTTTGAATATGTGTGATCTTCAGAAGAAATAACATAACCAGCAACTTCACTTGCAACATTTAAAATTTCACCCTTAATATGATCCATTTCATTCACCAATGGTTTAGAAATTTTATTTCTTGTGAACTGACACATCTAGCTGAGAGTTTAATAAAGTGCTTAAACCCCTTAATATTCTGTTTGTTTTGACTATAGCATTGGAGAAAACTGGCATGAATTGAGGTGATGAGTATATAGTCCTGGGGACTTTGACTCAGAATTTAGTAACCTTACGGGGTACGTCTTAGTGGTGAAATATCTCCACTTTAGTATTAAAGTGGAAAATTTCTAGAGAGGATGCTTGGTACTGGTCAGGTGGCTTCATCTTTCGGCAAAGCTGCAAGTAGTCGCTGAGGGTAACGTTGGTTGAGTGAAGCAATTTTTGAAGCAATTTTATAATAAGCAATTATCGAAGAGGCATATTTTGGATGAGGATGAAAGTTGATGGTACATTATACTGGAAAACACAGTGATAAAAACGTTTGTAGGATGCTAAAAGTCGTAAAATAAAAATATATACAAGTCTCTAATTATTTGAATTCGTGAGAGGACGAAAGCCAATCAGAAGTTTATTCGTTGGTCACATGATCACTTTTGGAATTGAACTTAGACAATTTCATAAAATACAATTTGAAGGAGAAATATAAGACACTAGATTAAAAAATTCTTGATTAAATACGTGATTAAATAGATGATTATTTTTTTTTTTTTTTTTGAAGATAAGGAAAAATTTGGTGCATGACACGTCCATATGCCTGCTTGATCAGGTGGAAAGTCTATTCCTGCTTGTCCAGGATTAATGAATATATACACAATATACATGATGAATTTTGAAGTTAGATGAAGTTAATTCCAGTTATTATTGTGGAAAATGGAGCGAGGTCTTTGAATGTTTGAATAATTTTGCTGTCATAGTTTCCAAGATTCCTAATGACTTGGTTGACGTGATGATCACATTTATGGTGGAAATTTTTTGAAGTTTTAAGGATTTCTTCATTAAGTAGATTAATTCTGATACTTCTTCGGATGACTGAATTTCTCACGTACCAGGGGGAATTCGAAATTATTCTTAGATGGATATTTTCTTGTTTCTGAAGGAGCAGTCGATTGGTTTTCGCAGTGGCTGCCCAGGCTGGTGCTGCATAGAGGATAATTGGACGGATTGTCTGGAGATAAACTAACCTTTCTGTGGTTAAATTTAACTGTGAATTCCTGCCTAATATTGAGTAGAGAGACATAAATGCCTTCTGCGCTTTATGTTTAATGTAGTTGATATGAAATCCAAAATTTAGTTTTCTGTCCAGATGTACGCCTAGATATTTGACATGGGGTTCTTTTTTAATGACTGTGTTGTTAATTTTGATGTCTTGAAGGTTGTCTTGATTATTTTTGCGATTAAAGATGATTACTGAAGATTTTTCCGCGTTAACTTTAATTTTCCATTTCTCGAACCATTTTGTAAGTGCGTCAGTAGAAGCTTGAAGTTTTCTTAGTGCTATTTTAGGATTGAGTGATTTACAGAGGATAGCAGTATCATCTGCGTAACATGCAGTGAGTGCACAATCAGTTGTTGGCAGGTCGTTTGTGAAAATATTGTAGAGGGTTGGTGAGAGAATCACTCCCTGAGGCATTCCTGCATTTATTTTTTGGATGCTGGAGAGATGGTTATTAACTTTGGTTTGAAAGGTCCGCTTTTTAAGAAAGTCTGCTATGAGTATGATAATTTCGGCTGGGAAGTTTTGTCGAATAAGTTTGATAAGGAGGGCGTTGTGCCATACCTTATCAAATACTTTTTCTACGTCTATGAAGAGTGCGGCGACAGTTTCTTTTTGTTCATACATTCGCCAATGTATTCTGTAAGTCTTGTAATTTGATGGGTAGTAGAAAACCCAGAACGGAAACTGAACTGGTGATCTCTCAGGATGCTATTTCCTGGAAGAATGTTTGAATGCGTTTGAGAATAATTTTTTCATAGATTTTAGCCGCAGTAGGCAGAAGACTGATGGGTCTGTAATTTTTTGATATGGTGCTTTCTTTCCCTGGTTTTTTGATGACTGTGATCAATGCATGTTTCCATTTATCGGGAAAAATGCAGAGTCGAAGGCAGCTATTGATGATATTTGTGAGAAGTACAATTCCTTTGCGTGGAAGGTTTTTAATAGCCTTATTTGAGATGTTATCGAAACCTGCAGATTTTTTGGGGTTTAGTTTCAGGATTATATTATTGATATCTTTAGGAGAAACAGGCTTGTTGGTGGCGAGATGATGGGAGTCAAGGAAATTATTCACCTGGTCGGAGATGGAGTAAGTGAAGTTAGAGATTTGAGGATCACTGTTAGGTTTGAATTGATTTTCGTAGTCTTCGGCGAATATCTCAGTGAATTCTTGGGAGTTGTGAATCAGGATGTCATTTTTCTTGAGAGGTCCGATTTTATTGAAGTTATTGCGTAGGGATTTTGCTAATTTCCAAACAGAGTGGTCTTTGTGTGATAAACTTAGGATGAATTTTTGCCAGTTTTCGTTGCGATAATTTTGCATGATAATTCTGAGTTCACGTTGGGCAGCATTTAATCTGGATTTAATAGCAGGATTTTGAGTGCGTTGAAATTCCTTTCGAAGGCGGTTCTTTTGGTTAATTTTTTGCCGGATGTGATGAGGAAGCGTGAAGGTTTCATTGTTGATAGCAGATTTCGAATTATCAAGTGCATGCTTGATGCTGATGTTAAAAATATCTATTGCTTCATTAATTTCTTGTCTATTTTGGAAAGGAGGTTTTGCAGATATGCTGGAGTCTAAAATAGATGTAAATTTATTCCAATTAATCCGGGAATTTAGTGGAGGGAGTCCGTGGCGAAGGCCATACATAGTAAAATGGACAGGTAGATGGTCCGACGAAAGATCATTGCTGACGTATAAATAAGGAGTTTGCTTGATATTGATTGTAAGAAGAACGTCTAGAACATCAGGTGAGCCGTGGAGAAAACTACGAAACCTCCCTCCTTATATTCTAACCTCCTGAGAGAAACAAAGCAGACAGATGTCTTGTTTTGCACCCGCTAATTCTTTCTGTTCCGATGGGCGAGACAGACAGACAGATGTCTTGTTTTGCATACGCTAAGTCTTTTTGCACTTATGGGCGAAAAATCAAGCTTAGGTGCAAATAAAAGGTATATGGAAAGGGGGAAATTTAGTATTTGAGGAGAGTAAAAAGAAACTTCGTAAATTTTGTAGAAGTTCAAAAGGCCAGGAAGAAAAGATGAGACAAAATAAAATTTTAAATAAATGACCCAAAAATAATAGGGGAAAAGCAAAAAAAAAAAAAAAAAAAAAAAAAAAAAATAGGCCTATAGAAAGAAAAGGAAAAGAAATAGAAAATATCCTAAAATACGATTGTGTCCATGAGTGTTCTTAAAAGGAGAAGGAGCTGTCTTCATTTACAATAAATAGTATCTCACAAGTATGTGCGTAGTGAGTGCGTTTGGTAATGCTGAATAGATGTGATACTGGGGGGAGGGGAATGGTGACACTGTTAAAATGCTTCTTATCAAGGTATTTAGCATGGAATACAAAGTAATATGTATGCTTGCATCCTGAGACACAACAGAAAAAGGCCCATAACATTAGACAAAAGTATATATTAATTTAACAAAAGTAAATTATGCGATTTTCGTTCCCAACATTTTCATACATTTTTCAAAAAAACAGCAGCAAACAAAGAACATAGAACCCTATACAATACAAGACCACAACAACACACACACAAATATATATATATATATATATATATGTTTATATATATGTGTGTGTGTGTGTGTAAATTACAGAGTATATGTATTAAAAACATAAATTAAACATAGTATTTATTAACTTGTAGAATTCACAGTTCCAGTTGAAGCATTGTTTGTTGTTGTTTACATCGAAAACTCAAAGAACTCAAAGGTCAAAAGAGCGGGAAAAGTGACTCGCTTTCTTTAAAAATAAAACTGAATGTATACGCATTAGATAACATTATTCAAAATTTTAAAGAGTTAAATATTACCTATGAAGCCAATGCTATTAAAAGCTATCAAGCCGTCAAAGTTCACATGCGTTTCTTTGTCGGTGAACTAGTGTTTAGGTTTCTTGGAAGCTTGGGCTGGACCGGCTCAATGTTCCGCTAGTCTAAACGGACGTTACATATTTTCGGGTCAATTTTTTACAAGGGTGTTGTAGTGACACTCGAGAATAAAATACGATCTGTGTGTGTGTGTGTGTGAAGCTGTACTTCTTTTCCTAATTTAAATTCTTTGATATCTGGCAACCTTGACGAGTATCTGTGCTTCCAGTGAATGTTCTACAGTTGAACTGCGGTGCTTAACCACCAGGGTGCCTGGGCGCCATAGCCCTACCCCTCATCGAATAACATGATAAAAGTTTCGAATTATGAGAAATGTAACTGAATGTGCTAAATAATTAAATGAGCAAGAGTTTAAATTCATAATTGCTAATAGTTAAATACATATTTTTTCCTTAAGTACCTAATTACTAATCCATACATAATTAACTATTTTTTAACAACTATTTCACAGAAGAATACATGTACACACAAGAGAAACAAAATACGAAGTGCGACGCCTTAGTGCCACTAGTAAAAAAAAAAAAAGAAAAAAAAGAAAAAGAACAATATACAATAAAGAATTTGAGCAACAATTTGCATAACACATATACAAAATTACACATTACTGAAAACTAGATGTTCGACTAGACCACGGAGTATTTTGATAAGCTGTGTGCAGCGGTCGTAATTTTTGTAATTTCCCATGTTTTTGTGGCGTTCACTTTTCACAGTTCCTTTCCCTTTTTTTTTTTTTTTTTTTTTTAACTTATTTGAAAGAGATCTTTGTGTCCTACAGTTTGGCAATACTTTGAAATATACCTCTCCGAAAGTAGTTTCGGGTGATTGTGAGTTGTTGTATAAACTTAGCGTGTGATATGGCTGGAGTCATGAAGGAATTCAAAAGTAGCAGTTATATGTCTCAAGAATCTATTAAAATAATTGCTGAATCAGTTGGAATATCAAATATATCAGATGAAGCTGCTAAATTACTCGCTGATGATATAAGCTACAGAATGAAAATGATGATCCAGGTAAGCAAAAAAGTGAAAGAAATGTCAGGAGAGTCATAATCGGACAGTATTCACAGTCGAAATAAATAATATAGTTATACCAAAAGTACTTAAAAATGATTTGTATTTATTGTACTTCTCTTTCTGATTATGGTAATGTAATAACCTCGTAGTTATGACATTGCTCATCGTTCTTTCTATTAAAAAAAAAAGCAGTTGCATTATCTGCATGATAGACAATCATATATTTATGCTGTTAATGAGAAAATGTATGGCATCCCTTTTCAAAGATTATACATATCTCTTAATTAATAAGGTGTTTTGATAAAATCAATACCGCAAAATCCAGTACCACAGTTATGTTCATTTGCATAATTTGGTAACACATTTCATAATTTATTCCATTTCCATAATTTGGTCTGTTTCAGATATTCTCATGGCTTAACACTTATGTGTGTGAGAATTTACAGGTGTGTCTGAATTTAAAGTATTTCTCGTAATCTCATACTTATTCTTATATACATCTTCAGCTTTGATGTTTTCATTTTTATAACTACTTTTCACTCTGAAATCATTACAATTAGTGCCTTTTAGAATATGTTCTTGTTGCTCTCTCCAATTCTTCCTTCCATTCTTTTTATAATTCTGTGTGAGCATAGTTTTTCTGTGCTTGTATGATTTTTCTGTTTTCTCTTCTTTTTCCGTTCTCATTTATGCATACATGATCTCCTTTCTTCAGTGCTTTTAATGGTCATGCTTTCGGGTGAAATGCAGAATTGCCCTCTTATTTGGCACTTTTTATTAGTCCCTGTGCAATCTTAATCAGTAAAACTTTTTTGGGAACTACTGTCATATACGGACCGGATTGGCGAGAAACTCCACTATTTTAATTATCTAAATTTTTTGTTTACTTACTTCATATTTCAAATTAAACTTTCATTTTATTTCAAACTTAAAGCCTAAAATGTCTGAAAAAAATGTGGTTTTTGCATTAGCAAAAATGAAGTTTTTGCACACAATTTAGGTTAAAAGTCTGAAATAAAAACAAAAAAATTAGATAAGTAAAAGCGTGAAGTTTCTCACCAAAAGTGTTTGACAACAAATTTAAACTAAAATAACAACAATAAATAAATTCCAAACAATTTCAACACAAATAAGTTAAAAAAAAAAAAAAAAAAAAAACCACACAGAATTAAAGCAGTGCAATAATTAAAATAACTCTCTACAGAATTAACCTTTTGAGGCCGGGGCTTTGGTAGCAGTAAAGCTACCAAAAGACGGGAAATCTTGAACCAAATGCTTTCCCCCCTTTAAGAAATCACCTCCTATTTGCAACAAAGATTCTTGTGTGTAGTTTAATGGATCCTCAGAGAAGTGCATCTATGTTGCAAAAGGGAGATCTTTGAAAGAGATAAGTGGTTGAAACCCCAGGGACGTCAAATTTGACATTTCAGCCTGTAAAATGGGGGAAAAAGACATGGTCATTAAAGTGGACAATCCCGTCCATTCAAACAGGGAATACAACTGCCAATATATTAGCCATCCGTCTACAAAAGGTTAAGACAATAAAAAAGTGAATTCACTTACCATTCGAAAAATTTTCGTAAAAAGCAAATTACAGTCAAAAGTCGTTAATTCGGACACACATAATCCGGAATGATCTATAATCTGGACCTCAAAGCTTCAAACTTTCTGCGCATGTGTTGCGTTGACGCGTAAGGCCTTTACGGCTGAGAATGTGCTTGTGCGCGTGCACAAAATACGTTTACGAGTGCACGCTTAATGTATAACGGACGGTGTAAGTTAAGCTAAAATTATTTAGTTATCTATTTCAGTTAATGTTGCAGATTGCGTTGTTCCTTAATCTTCGAATTGGATCCGGCTTATCATTTTTTGCAGACTGTTAGAGCAATTTTATAAAAGTAAGCTTGAACTTTCGATTATGTCAAATAGAATTTCTGATATATATTTATTAATATGTAAATGATCTACAAAGCGAAAGTATGTTTCGAAGTTCATTAAACAAAAAGTGGAGTTGCTACAAAAAATGGATAAAGGCATATCCTTTGTTTATCTAAATTTCACGTTTATCTTTAACGGCTGGGGGGAATGCCTCGGCGCACAATGAATTGGAAGTTGATCTGTCAGCACTATCCTTATCTTCAGGACAGATGTTTTTATTTTATTTGGCTTATAATTCCTTAACTTAAATGTAGTATTTCATCTCGATGTACTCCGTCTTTGATATGATTTAAATTACAATTCCTCGTCATTATAATTCGCTTCCGATAGTCGAAGAAAGTGAACAGAGGTTATTGAAAACGAAAAAATTTCGATTGACAAATTAGTCGGTGTTCTTGACACAGCAATTATAGGACTTCAACAGCGGAACTTTCTGACTGAACAAGAAATTATGTCTGTTTAAAGAATTAAAGAGAATGTATTATCACATAAAAAACGAGGCAACTTAAACAACTTACATTGAAAGAAATGTTTAATAAAGTAAACAAATAAATATTAAGCTTTTTTTTGTAAATTTTGATACCCTTTAGATCATAATTGTTCTTTATTTCATAAATTACGGTTTCATATTTTTAATTTTATAATTTCTGCATGCCATCTTACCAGATTTAAACTGATGATCTATAATTCGGAATTGCCGAAGTCCCGACGAGTCCGGATTAACGACTTTTGACTGTATTAATTTCAAACAAAAACTTATAAGGACAGACATGTCGTATATAATCCAATATACTTTCATTAATAAGATGACACAAAGCATGTGAACCAAAATGCCACGACCTAGCCATCAGGGCTCTGGAGTCTGTAGGGAAAATGACCGACTCCCTCATATGTATATATAATTTTAATATATACACATGGATTACAGCTTATTTTTTTGTAATATAAAAGAAGTAATAGATGCTACAGAAAAAAACTGATGGCATAAAAAATTATTTATATTAATTAGCATTTTTTATGAAATGGAAAAACTGGCATTCGTTATTTCTATGAAACAGTATAGCTTCGGCAAGATGTTCGTTGTTGGAGGGCCATAGATCTGATTTCATAAACTTCAGAGCTGAGAACTTTCCACACTAACTTGAGTTGGACGAAGAACTGTTACTGTTAGGGTTACTTTTCAGGATAGATTTTTATAAGTTCTAAAAGAGGTGTCTTGCTAGTGCAATCATATTTCTCTATTTCTTCAAAGGCCGTGTAGAAATCTTGTTTGTACTTTTTCATTTTTATATCTAAAGGCACTTTGTTCTTTATTTTCATTCGCTTTGCCTTAGCCTTTTCTATATTATCCAAAAATATTTCTCAAAATTTTATTCATCCCTGGAGGAGGATGATAGAGATGCAATTGCAATGTCTGCAGTTTGACTGTCCTGATTCGAATTCTCCAATTGTTCTGAGAATAATTTCATTCTTAAGGAAAGCTCATAGATGGCTTTCTTTGCCTTTTTTAATTTGTTCGTCATCCAAGAAAATTCGATGTTTCGTATATACATATATTGAACCCAGCAAGATCTCATTGTCTAGCAAACTAGTTTCTCTTTTCTTCATTCAAGAAATGATTCCTTCTGCAATAAACCCTCCATTTCAGAAAGAACAAACATCCCATTCTTCCATTCTCGCCTTCTGTGAATTCTTCAGATTGCAGCTTTTTTTGTGGCTATATACAGTGTAGAAAGAAGAATTTCCAATTCTGCAAGATGTAGATATATCAAAACAGAAGACAAACATGCTAAAGTGAAAAGATAAAATTAGCAAAGCAACAGCCTTGTGTATGGCATACATTTAGTAAAGAACTCTATCAATTTTGAGGGCAAACAGGTATAGATTCCTCTCCGTCAGGAGAACAGTCTGCAAGACTAGATTGTAGATCATCAGTTTGCTCCACGCTGCCATATTACTATCTAAATTTTTTGTCTACATTTCGAACTTTAAGCCTAAATTGTCTCCAAAAACGGTTTTCGCGAATGCAAAAACCACGTTTTGAACACACAATTTAAGCTAAAAATCTGAAACAAAAAATTTAGATAGCAAAACCGTAAAGTTTCTAACCAAAATTATTTGACAAGAGTTCATGTACACAGCGATATGTTTTAACTTAAAAAAAATCTACGAATTGCACAATTTAGGCAACAAACGAATCTACGAACTAAGCATACTCACTTTAATAAATTGACATAATAACAATAAATTTCAAAGAATACCATGTACACAGCATCCTGTTTCAACTTAAAAAAACATCTACGAATTGCACAATTTAGGCAACAAACAAATCTACGAACTATGCACATCTCACTTTAATAAGTTAACATAACAACAATAAATTTCAAAAAATACCATGTATACAGCATTCTGTTTCAACTTTAAAAATCATCTACGAATTGCACAATTTAGACGGTACGCACTAATCAACAAAATAACTAAAATAAATTTCAAACAATTAAAAAAAAAAAAAAACAGTAACGACAGAAATTCATACTAAAAAAACGATGAACATAACATTCTACAAAATAAGAACAAGAATAAAATAAAATGCATTTACCATGAATTAATGCTTTTTCGAACAGCAGAAATACCAATTTCATACCGCCTTTAACATGCCGCCACGTAATCATTATCATATTTCTATGACAGCCAGACACACTATCCAGAAAATTCATACTATGGTTCACAAATATATAAAATGACAAATAATCACAAATCCCTACTTCTATCATGCACAGCCACAAAAATAATCTCCCATACCCTCTTTCTACACCTCCAAATACCCACTGCCCCTCAACAGGATGGCCACGACCATAATTCCTTTTGCCGAACTTCAATTCAACAACTTCCACCATTTTATCTTTCCCTCCTAGCTGCTCAGACACAGAGCATGACGCGAACCAACGAACTCCAGTGAAAGATTTTTCAACGTCAACTGGGTTACCATACAACACACAATTGCGTCAGAAACCAGTGCAGAACACATATCGCCACATTTGGTGAATTTAGGGCGTATA